CACACACACACACACACACACACACATATATATATATATATATATATATATATATATACACACATATAGGCTAGATATACATATATCACAGTTTTATTGTAGTTCAATAGCATAGTTAAATAAACTATGGCTACATTGATAAATATTTGTAAGAAAACTCACTCAGCTGAGGTAAGCCTTAAAGCAAAATATTAAAACGTTTGGCCAATGGCCATATAAATCATAAAATGCGTAAATCTGAGTTAAATAAAGCGAGAAACATCTGTTTTCTCCAAGTTCAGCAAACCATGTCAAGCTCAAACAGACAGACGATTTAAATGTCTAGTTTCATAACACACATACAGATGAGCCATGTGGCTTTTGGCAGCTCACTTCCAAAGGAAAGCAGAATAATCTAATCCTGAGGGTAAGATTGTGGGAGACAGTTTGCCTTAAAAGTTCCCAGTACACATTTATCATAAAATCATTTGACAGAAATCGATCAATAACGCTCAAATCACATTCAAGTCGAGCGTGATCTCGCACCGTCATATTTAAATACCCCCATCGAGCGTCACCAACACTTTCACATGACACCCCAGATGTACACCCAAAATACCCCCGTGGCAAGGCGGTCTGTATATACCAACCGTTCCACATCTGTTAAGGAGGCCAAAATTTCCATACCTGCCGTGGAACCAGTCTTTACAAATGTCGCATTCGATCATAAACCGGTTAAAATCATAGGGCTGCCGGCAGACACAGTAGACCGGGGCAGCCGCCATCTTCCTAATGTCCCTAAACAACGCTGAGGACTGTAGGGGCGGGATTAACGTCAGCGGAAACTCCCGAAGGGAAATAGGGGCGTGGTTAACATAAACGGAAATTGCCGAAGTAAAATCCGACCAGTGCCGAGTCTGCCGACATCAGCGCCTGCCACTGCAGACATGGGCTCAATCACGATCACTTAGAGGTTTCGATGAATGAAGATTGTAGGCGCACTTCTTTTCACAATAAAATTCAATTCATACACTGAACTGCTGTTAAAAACATTCTTAGGGTTTTGATTTTTTTCATTTTTCTGATCCGAAAACACCACTGACTTACTAACATGATGATCATGTCAAATGACATACAGAGCAGAGCCTGAAGCGAGACAATAAAAGTAAAGCAGGTGTATAATATAAACTGTAAATAAGATTTTATTACTACTAAGGAATCACAAACTTTGTCAATTTACTCTTTGTACTCCATATATTACTATTTCAATGTCAAAAGAAATACTGCACGCTTTATTCATAAATAAATAGTCATAACAATGAACAGAAGATATCTACAACAATCCTCTGTATATTAATTCAGAATCAGCGTGCTGCACGTGTACTACGTGTCAGCGGCTTTCTGTGACATGCGCAGATAGTAGACTGGGGGAGGGGCTACGCAAAATCACACTGCATATAAACACACACACACACACACA